CGTCGCTCATGTCGGGGGCCGTTGAGGATGATCATCATCAGCGCGTCCAACATGATGATGCTCATGCGGTTCCGCAGCTTCGACTTGACCCACGCCATCGTCGAGAAGCCGCGCTCGCAGCAGACCGTCGACAGCACGATGGCGAGCGAGATGGCCGCGAGGAGCTTGCTGTTCGGCATGCCGTTGCTCGCCAGGAGCGTCGCGTAGCCCTCGTCGAGCGTGACGCCCGACAGCTTCATGTCCTGGAGCACGTTCTTGAACGCGGACCACTCGGCGCGGAGCTGCATGGGGTCCAACTGGGGCTCGTAGACCGTGCCGTCGACGGACATGTTGTAGCCGTAGTGCGACGCGAGCACCTCGATCTCGGCGTTGCCGTAGGTGGCCTTGACCTTGTCCCAGGCCTCCCCGACGGGCATCTGCGTGAAGTCGAATTTCTCCAACGCGACCAGGATCTTGTCGTGGGGGAACCGGTCGTCGTAGCCGCGGCTCACGGCGCCGGCGAAGGCGACCGCGCCGGCCTTGACGCGGCCGTCGGCCTCGCCGTCGAAGGTGAGCGTCATGCCGCGGTAGCAGAAGGTCTCCATCTCCGTGTCCTGCGCCGCGGCGAAAACGCCGTAGTGCGAGCCGCCGACGAAGCCCGCCCGGTCCAGGTAGCACGTGTCCAGGCCCTTCTTCACCGACGCGAGCGTCCGCGAGACGTCGCTGTAGCGCACGTGCTCCTTCTGGAAGCAGAGGCTGACCAGGTTGAGCTGGCGCAGGATGTCGGCGAAGATGACCAACGACAGGACGAAGGCGTAGGAGGTCGTGAGCTCGTAGAGCGCCGCCGCCGTCTTCACGTTCGCCTCGGCGTCGGCCTTGAACTCCAACTGCAGGGCCGGGAGCGCCGTCAGCAGGCGCGCGGACACCTGGCCGCGGCACAGCCACCGAGTCCTGACAAAAGAAAGGACCGCGAGCCTCGGGATCTTCAACGACTCCTGGAGCTTCGCGAGGTGGTCGCGCCGCTGGTTCGAGTTGCTGTGGTACGTGACGACCTCCGCCATGGACGTGTCGAGCGTCTCGGCGACGAGGTTGCCCGTGGCCGCGTCGACGGCCGTCAGGGCGTGCCGGTGCCCCACGCAGTGCGCGACGACGATGCGCGCGTTGAAGCGCTTGCGCGCGCGCACGGCGACGCCGTTGACGCTGCCCATCAAGACCGCGGCGCCGTCGGACGCGAAGGAGACGATCGTCGACGTCGGGATGCCGTCCATCTCGAAGGCGGCGGCGAGCGCCGTGAAGAGGCCCAGCGCCGTGGCGTCCGGCACGTGCAAGATGCGCCAGAAGACCGTCGTGTACTTGCCCTTGATGAAGACGCGCAGGTAGATGATCATGTTGCCCGAGTGCGACACGTCCGTGCTCTCGTCCATCATGACCGCCTTGGGGCGCGGCGCCTGCGCCGCGGCGATGATGGGCGCGCGCACGACGTGCGCCAGGGCGAGCACGAAGTCCGCCGCCGCGTGATCGTTGACGTACGCCTTCCCCAGCGCCGCGCCGGACTGGCGGAGGAGGTGCACCAGGTCCTTCACGTTTCTTATCGCCACGTTCTTCTTGGCCAGGAAGTAGACGCTCCGCATCACCGTCTTCACGTGCTTCTTCAGGCCGTCGATGGACTTCTCGAACGCGGAAACGACGCTCGGCTGCTCGCTCGGGTGGTACTGCAGGCGGTGGGCCACGACGGCGCGGCGGCGGAAGTCCTTGGTGCCCTCGCGCATGGGGTTCTTGGAAGAGTTCGGCGCCGCGCCGAGGCCGAGGCGGATGCACGTGTCGCAGTACAGCAGCGAGCACCCGCTGCATCCCGTGCAGGCCTCCGCGCGGATCGACGGGCAGACGCCGACGCCGACGCACTTGATGCACGTCAGCGCCGGGTTCACGTCGAGCCAGCTCTCCTGGAAGAGGCGGAACTTCGTCGTCGCGTGGGACACCTCGACGGCCACCTCCGAGCTCTCGTCCACGGGCACGACCGAGTCCTCCGAGCCCTCGACCATGGGCGTGTCCGTCGACGTCGACGTCCATCCACCCGTGCAGATGCCGCCGGCGTGCGTCTCGTGGGGCTTGACGGGGCCCGCGTAGGCGTCCCACTTCACGCCCTCGCCCGGCCGGCCGCGCGGCGCGGGCGCGGGCAGCGGGTTCGCGTCGGTCGGCGACGTCCAGCGGCCCGTGAAGATTCCCGGCCCGTGCTC